CACTCATAAATACTAAGACCGCCAAATGGTTCGGGCTTACTGACTCGCTCTCTCTGCCGAATGGTATCACCCTGGGGGGCTGGGAACTAGCCGGGGCATGCAGGCGGGGGCCAGCGTATTGAGGGTTAAATAGGGGTGAGGTAGGCAGAACCCCCCACCTCTTGATTGTATACTTCTTCTGAGTTCTTAGTCGGATGTTGGTCCTGGGCCGGGGTTCAAGGTCCTTGTCCAGGACATCCCAAGCCCTAGGCCCTGCAGGGAAGGAGCCTTCCCTCGCGCAAAGCCTATCTGCCCTGGCCACCGAGACACCTAACCCAGAGGGCAGAGATGTCGCGGGGGCTGAACGGCATGTCCTTCAACCGTTCAATATCGTGAGGGGTAACCCCTCGCGACATATTCCTTCAGCCATTCAATATCGCGAGGCCGAGACTGGGATTACCGCGTATGACTAACATCGCTGGTTGGTATAGGACAGGCCTGCGGCCGCACAACTATATACCAAAATCTCGTGCGCGACGTTTCACCGTCCTAGTGACTACAGTTATGGGATCAATGGAGTCGTACGTATGCTTGAGTGTTCGGCAGTGGTGTAGGCCGTGTTGCCAACCAAAGGAAAAACGGGGGTACCCGAGTCGTGATTTCGGGGGCGGGGAGACCCTCGGCCTGTATTTGCTTTTTAGGATTATTATGGTTGGACGTTGTAGTCCGTGGCAGCCGTCAAAGTCAAACCCCTTGACTCGTGTTCGGGCCTGGAGTGGGGTTTATCTCCAGGGCAGCAAGAAATAGCCGCCACCACAGGCATGGACCTGTGTACCACCCACTCTGCATAGAGTGCAGAAGAGGGTGTGTGGTCTTCAACCGCGCATGGCGGTTGTCTAGCACCGAGAGATTAACCCCTCAAGGCGAGTGCCAGCCGACACTTGAGTGTCGAAGGTGACCCTCGTATATTACCCCGGGCCCCATGATTATGGGTACTGCATAGTACACCATCTTCGCTACTACTCAAGTACTTTGGCATTGCAAAATGATGTGAGAAGGCTTTGCGTCCGCGCGGGTTTTATACCAAGTCTTGCACGCGATGCCTATCCGATTTCCGCATCAAAGAGTTATGGGAAGGCTACCGAGGGACTAGGAGCGTTGTCGCGTTGGTTATGTTGTGTCGTTCTGTGTGTATGTTAGGGGTGTGTTATAGTTATGTTCTTTAGAGTGGCGTGCGCGTGGCGTGTGGGAGACGTCCTAGTCGACCGGTGACGAGTCGCGCTTGGGACCTCAGCCCCCCAAGATGTCGGTTCACGTGCGGGTTCGATAGAGGCGTACTACCGCGCGTACCCCCCTATGCTACAGCGAATGAGAAACGCCCTCGGCTGGTCCACCTCTGCGATTGCAGCTGATTAGCTTTCGTACTGTGGACTGGTAGCTCGGCAGGGATACGCCCACCGAAGGGAGGTGACAGCTCCCGTAAGGTGGAGGTAAGTCGTGCCTCGCGTAGGCCCTGTCCTGTCGTAGGGGCTCGCGAGAGGTATGGCTGGCGCACTCGGCCGGAGCGGCTTGCGAAAGCTCCATATATGTATCGCAACGGGGATTTAGACCAACTCCTGCGTGACGCGGCCGGAAGGGTCCCGCGCTGCCCCTGAGTAGTGCCGGACCGATGCTCTCGACAACGCTCAACACTCAATTCTGGATCTCCCTGAATACTCCGCACGCTCACTCTCTTACACACGCACACACATTTGAGTCTACCTTCCTCCTACAGCGGCTATGGCCACTTCTACTACTACTGACAATGGCTACAATGTCTCCCTTCAGCCCACTTCGACTTCGCGCGACCTGCAGACCACCTCGCACAAGACGCTGTAGCAGCGCTTCCGCATGGCTCACGCAGCGAATGAATGAATGAATGGTTGTGCGCTGCCTCTTAATTTATACTTTTGTAACTCATTGGTCTGCCCCTTTCCACCGGGCCCATGGTGCACACAGTCCCTCATGGTACTTGCTTGACTGGACTGGGACTGACTGGACCCATACCGCTGACTGCATGGGTTTGCACTGCCAACTCGATGCAGTCGCACTGCCGACGAAATGCAGTTGGGATCACCACTTGCCCGCTTGCCTCTGACTAAACATGAGGCAACTTCGAAAGGCCACTTCCGAACCTTCCAGAAGTCTGTGGACTTGGCCTTTCGAGTATTGTAGCAGCTACTACCTTGACCTTTCAGGACCGTAGCAGCTACGACCTTGACCTTTCAGAAGTCCTACAGCTACGACCTCTACAGGGCTGTGACTCCTACTCGACGGACCTACAGATCGAACCCCTACCACTACACAGACCTACAACAGACAACAACAACTGCCAAAACACAGGTCACGGGTTCAAACATTCACAGGGGCGACTCGATACTGTACACGGGTAGGGTAAGGTATGGGGATCGAACTCTGGGCCCTCATATGTGACTGCAAAACGGTGAAAACCATTTCACTCCCGCCGGCGTAAATTCGAGGTCCTCCGAGAATACTTTAATCCAAGGCGGGACCTTTTCCTTTCTTATCTCTTTCGTAGGCTCGGACGACATCGGGAGCTGTCTCTAGAAGTTCTGTTCGTGTAAACCAGCGGTCGTCCTCTGGCTCTTGAAAGGCGAACCTGACTTTATACTGTTTCTGTGGACGACCTCTACCTCCTGTTCTGAAGACATCTTCACCTACAATGTCGTCAATGTCGTACCTTCTGTCCAAGTCCGGAGGAATCATGGACCTCCGTGATGGGAATTGTTGACTTGTAACGCAAGGCAACAACTTTGATGCATGGAACACTGGGTAGGTGTGGAGGTGTGCTGGAATCTGAATGGTATAGGACGGTCCATCCTCTCTGCCCTTGACTTCTAAGACTGGCCACGGTCCTCTATACGCAGGCAATAATTTCTGTGAGATGTTCTCCTCAGGAGCAAATTCTTTTGACTTGACCTAGGCTAAGTCGCCCACTTGAAATTGTGAGGGGCGACGATGCTTATTGGCTTGCTCTATCATTCTATGTTGGGCCTTCCTGAGGTTGTCTACAACGGTAGCTATGTCTTTTTCGTGCTGTATCGCAACCTCTCGTGTAGTGGGCGGTAGCCTCTGCATCTGGTCCCGGTTCAGTCCTTCAAACGGTCTACGCGGTTTAAAGGACTTGTGCAGCTTGTTGGGAGTGCGACACATGGCTAGGTGCACGCTGTTATTGTAGGCACTAACTACCTTTGGGAGCATCTCACCCCGGTTGACCTTATCGGGCCTAATGTACATCCTAAGAACTTGTTGCCGGATCTTGTTCATCTGTTCAGTCCGGCCGTTAGTCTCGAGGTGGCGGCCAGATGACATTAACAACTTTGACCCATAAACTCTCATCAGATCCTGCCAGTTCTGATTGGTGAACCGGGTGTCTCTGTCACTAGCTATCGACAGTGGTATGCCATGTTCACTGACCCAATGATCAAAAAACTTTTGAACTACTAAATATGTTCGTGCCTCTGCAGGCAGAGTAACAAAAGTTGCATACTTGCTAAATCTATCAACTATAACCATGACTTGGCTCTTGTCGTGCCTACTCTTGACATGTGTGTCCATAAAATCAATAGATACTGAGTCTCCCGGGTGATGAGGAATAGTCAAGGGTCTGAGAAGACCTAGAGGGGCGTGTGTAGTCGTCTTATTCCTCTGACTTCCTTTACAACTGCGGACATACTCTATGCAGTCATTCTTCATCCCTGGCCAGGTATACGCACGCATCAGGTTGGCTAATGTCTTTTGCCAACCGAAATGTCCCTCAGTGTCGTGGCATTACCCCTAAGATTAAGCTACGGATCTCCTCACTGTTAGGAACGCATAGGCGGTCCACTACATCAGTCTTCTCGAATAGTAACCCATCAATAGTGCGGTAATCTGGTTCAGATTCCGGGGCCTCCTTAAGTCTTTTGAGGAGGTCACTATAAATAAGGTCCTGTGCGTACGCTCCTCGAATTTTCTGTTGCAGGTCTCTCCCTATATCCAGATAGTGAACTATTGCTCCAAAGTAGCCAACTCGTCTACTTAGAGCATCCGCCACTACATTCTACTTTCCTTTGACTGCCTTAAGCTCAAAGTCATATTGGTCTATCTCTGCGGCCCACCTAGTGAGCTTAGGTGTCATCTTGGCCTGAGTCTTTAACCACCTTAGTGTCTCGTGGTCTGAATAGACTTTGAAATGCCTCCCAAGCAAGTAGTGCTTCCAATGTTCTAAAGCTTACCTGAGAGCGTAGAGTTCCCTCTCATAGGTCGATGTCGCTACCTTTTCTGAAGGCATCCTAGCAGACATGAACTCTACGGGTCTATACCCATTGCCGTCATCTTGCTCTAACACAACACCTATTCCATACTGACTTGCGTTTGTGGTGACAACAAAGGGTAGTGATGGATCGGCTACCTTGAGGACTGGGTACTCTATCAAGGCCCACTTCAACTTCTTTAGGGTCGAGGTACAATCTTTGTCCCAACTTCAGATCGCCTCTTTCTTGAGCAATCTACGAAGGGGCGCAGTGATGGTCGAAAAGTTCCTTACAAACTTCCTGTAGTAATTAGCTAGGCCTAGAAACGACCGCAATTCTGTTTACGTGGGGGGCGTCGGCCAATCTCTGATTGCTACTATCTTGCTATCCTCAGGTTTTATGCCATCCCCATCTAAGACGTGGCCCAAGTACAGGACTTGCGTCTTGGCCCACTCGCACTTCTTCGCGTTGATCTTGAAGTTAGCTTCACTTAGCTTCTCCAAGACCTGCCTCAGATGGCCCTCATGCTCCTAGAGGGTCTTACTAAACGCTAGGATGTCATCTAGGTACACGACTACAAATCTATCTAACCACGGCCTAAACAAATCATTCATACAACGCTGGAAAGTTGTTGGCGCATTGGTTAGTCCAAAGGGCATAACTATAAACTCATAGTGCCCGTACCTAGTCCGGAATGCTGTCTTATACTGATCATCAGGATGAACC